ATGTGCAAGGAAAAGAATTCTAATTTATTTTTTTTTAAATTAGCAACTTAGAGGTTTCCTTTGGTTTGCAGCGTCTATGGCAGTGAGACAGGTTTGAATTTCGGTTCGTGGATGGCGTACGCCTTTCCCATCTCTCTAATCATTCTTCTCTGCATTTGGTTCACAATTTGCCTGATTTACCTCGGACCCAAGTAGGTGTCGCTATTCGTACAACAGTTCGCCTTTTTTTCCGCTTTAACACCCACCTCGCCTCGGTAGACAGCTCTTTAGTTGCCGACGCACCAAGTCCAAATCCGCAAGCAGTGAAGTCGATGAAGTTTTTACGCCTGAAGGAAGTGACGCGGAGAGTGAATATCATCAGAGTGTGGAAGACATCTCCTTGGCAGACATCGTCAACAAAATTATTGAAGAGGAGGAGAAGGTTATCGGCACCATGACGTAAGTCACCTGTTTCCGTCCCATTCAGTTTAATTATTTACTTTTGTTTTCAAAGAAAATAAAAAGGAAATATGAATGACTATACGGTTCACTAGATTGTATGATGTTGTAGCTACTCTCCGGAGAAAATACTACCAAATACTACTCCTTAGGTACTTTTTTTAATCGGAAATGCGATACTACTTATAACGTAGTAAGGCGACAATCATCTTCTGACCAAGAATGTTGGAAATTTTATTTCTGGGTTTTTAAAGCCCATAAATCTTTTGGTGCGACTGGTTTTAACAATTAGGAGGCCATAGAATGCATGTTGTTGCTTCGTGACGCTGGTAGAAAGCGTGTTAATTATTTAAACAGCAATAATACCTGCTCTGCTTGACGCAGACTGAACGTGGTTACTTAAGTCCTCTTATCGCAGCTTAGTATCACGTAATTTTTACTGCCTTTTAGGTGGGCCGAAGGAACTGTTTTAATTCTTTTTGTATCCGTCGTGATCTTGTGGATAGGCAGAGAGCCGGGCGTTCCTGGCTGGTCTCTTTTTATGCCCACTAAAACCAACTCCAAGGGACGAATAATTCAGTGCGTTTTAACTTCACCTTTCTTCCACTTTAATCCGTCACGAATGTTTACCATATTTTGCGTTCTTAGCTATGTCGGAGATACGCAACCCATTGTGTTGGTGGCCTTCCTTGCGTTAGTTTTGCCATACAACAATCCATTTAAACTGCGTATTCGTCCGGATGAAATGCGTCAGTAGGCAATTGTTGTCTGTTTAACCTCGTCTAGATAATGATAATAATCAGGAGGTTTTGCTCCCTTAAGGTAAGGAAGCATTGGCCAGAATAAATCGACCTCTTCTACCTTGGACAGAGGCCGAAAAGAAGTGCGCATGGGGAGTCATCATCCTCATCGGTGGGGGTTTCGCCCTCTCCAAAATAGTCACAGTATGCATTAACAGTTCCATTGTGCATTTTAAAATGTTGCTCCCAGACACCTTTACTCACGCATATTTAAGCACTAACTTCACTCCGATTAACCTTGTAGTCCTCTGGTCTGTCCACTGTCATCAGTGATGGCTTAGTAGGATTGAATGTTTTACCACCATACGCTATTATCTACATTTTGACGGTGATGTGTTCATTTTTGACGGAGATGGTCTCCAACACCGCCACTATCACAATCCTCACCCCAATTATGTTCGAATTGGTGAGTCTTTTCCGCAGTTCCATTAATACACAACCAATGAAAAGCTTTGAGTAGACATTAATCTTCTCTTCTGTGTTTAGGCTGACAAATTGGCAATTCATCCCTTTTGTCTCACTTTGCCACTTGTTCTTGCCACTTCATTGGCCTTCATTCTTCCCGCTGCTACCCCGCCAAATGCCATTATCTATGCCAAAGGTCGTGTTCGGTTGTTTGATATGGTAAGTTGCGCTTACTGTGCATCGAAATGGGGATCAGAGAATGCGCTTCTGAGGATTTATTTTTTAACATGGGCACAATGGAAAGTAGGTTCTTCGACGGTCCGGTGCGGAGGCCGCATTGTACAACCGGGCAGTTCAGCCACCAGGGCTTAGTAAATGGACCTACACAACATCATAAAAACGAGAAAAAAAAAGGTGGAGGCATTTGGGAAGAGGCGCGTACTACTGCATGTTTCAGGCGATCCTAGGTGCCAACTGTTGGTTGAGAACAGTGAGGACAGAGGTCTCAGCGACACGTATAACGATGCTATCAAACGGGGAGGCATGATAATGCAAGCTATTTTGTACTGACAAAGCCATTTCGTGTAGAAGTTGCTTCACGTGTTTGGACTATTAGGACTAATCAACACCCTATAAATGACTCATTGTTTAAGAGCGTCTAATTCAGCTTGGACATCTCAGTGGATTGGGAAACCCAAGTGAAACTTACAATAAGTGGAGAGCTTTATTTGACACATATTTAATGATTAAGCATCTTTTTGTAGAGGAAGGAGTGAATGATCATGACCTTTGA